CCACTATACTTGGAAATGCTCACGTTGTAACGTACATTGGCTGAAACACATTTACAGGTAAGAATTTATGAAGGAAAAGTAATTTTAATGAAAAATATATATTTAAGCGTACCACCAAAATAAACGGTACTTGGCTCAGGAATTTGCTCGATAAACTCTTTAACTTCATTACCACCGATTGGAATGTTGTGCAATCTGTATAAAGAACATAAGTAACCTAAAACTGCATGGGGCCCATCTATCAAGTCGATCATATAAGCATCGAAGCCGTATGGGCTGTCATAAAAAAAAAAATTGCGATAAACTTTATGAAAACATATTGAATTAAAATCAAATACCGAAGATTTTTCATAGGAATAACAGGTAAAAATTTTGAATCCGGTGGAGCGTGACCTATATTTACAGTTAATTTCCTTTTAACACATAGCTCACTAATTAAAAGACTCATATCATTTTTGCTCTCACAAGAGAAGGCCTGGAAGTCACGGAACATTATTGTATTTTCCAAGTATTTGGTGTGATCAGGGTTGCGGACGTTTATCTGTAAGATGAAAAAGCGAATATAAGGAGATTGCTTCCAATCTGTTCCAAACGGACATCTTCTGTACTACCTCAAGCATAATAGGTTTATAAACGCGTGCTTCAAATAAATTCTCGTTCTCTTCTATCCATTTCATGGCTGTGCATACGTCGGGAAAATTTCGTTGTAAAAACTGCAAAATTACATTCAAAAATTATTTTCGCGTTTATCTTCAGTAAAACAGGTCTAATAAAATAAGAAAAAATATATATAAGAGAATAAATAAACAAGTATTTGTAATCCTTGGAAATACAAGGTATATATTGTGCTAATGTCACTGTAAATATCAGTTAATTAGCTATTGTTATATATATTATGTTATATATATTATGTTATGTATATATTGTTGTTGTCGACATAAATATTCGAAAGAAAAAGATGAAACTAACATTGTTTGTCAAATTTAAATACAGCCGAGATCTCTCTACAAACCTGTCGAAAATAACTTAAAAATTTAAATAATCTTAAATAAAAAACAACTACTTAAACATGCTTACGATGAATACGAGTTTTATATTTCAGTCTCAACATAAAAAAAACAATATCCGTCAAGAATTAATGGTTGGCATCTTCTTCTTCGTTTTATAGACCGTTCTAGAAGTGATGACTAGGCTCCTGCGTATGCAGTAGTAAATATAAAAGTCCAGGTTAGTCATATCCTGGAGGAGACTGCGTTTACATTTACAATCCAAGTTAGTATTATTCTCACCCTACAATTTTTGCTCGTAAAAGTAAATGTAAGATGGTTGTCATCACAGACAGTTTGCCAGTCATAAAACCTATTCGCAAGCTTATAAACTTCAACTGAAGTGTCGCTAACAAGGCAAGCGATACCATTGCCATTTACTGAGACAAAATTAAAATATCGGATACCGGGTCATATTGATCTCTTGGGAATGAGGGAGCTGACCTTGCAGCCAAATCAGCAGCTTCCGCACCTTCAAGTATGGATACCACACTGAGAGAGCTTCATCTTCAACTTCACGAAAATCAATATCCTTGCAGACTATTGCAACCCAATTTGCAATTGTGGACAAAATCTTACGATTGCACATATACTTTGTGAATGCCGGAACCTTGCAATATTCGAAGACTCGTTTTCGCATCGTCTAACCCTATAGACATCTCGAAAGTACCCGGGGAACATAATATCAATAAAATATTTTACTTTATTAAACGGAGTAGACAAACTATCTAGTCTACCTTTTAAAAAATAAGGAGAGCCGATAGTCTTGGTTGCTAGTCCTCCTCCTACTTTTCTAGTCCTGGATTTATCTTTTTTGATTTAAATAAACTATAATAATAACACAGATTTCGTTTAACTTTTATAAGTTGCCTGCCGATATTTCAGATTTATCGTAAAATCGTCATAGTTTTCGTTCCTTTCATTCAAATGAATAAATAATCCGTTCAATACATTCCAATAGCTTCTGATCGCCCACATTTTCCAAACTTTCAATTTGTTTCTTTAGACTACCTATTTCCGGTTTAAATTCCTCCAACCTTTGATTAAGACGGGTATGATTTTGATTTAAACGCTTGAGCTCGACCTTTTGACATTCCATGCTCTGATTACAGGCATTTGTTAACTCAGAGTCGGATGAGCATTCAGCTTTTAAATTTTCCAAATCTTGCACATAAACTTCTAATAATTGTACAGCATTTTGTAAATCTTTTTCCCGTTCAGCTTGCTCGCATTTGCGTTTCTATGGTTTAAAAATGCCTCTAATTAGATTATATGTAAATATGTCTCAACTTAATAACTCACCCGAAAATCAATCTTTTTATTATTTATCGTTGCCTTTATATGTTCGATTTTCTCAAGGATTTTTACTTTATTAGTCTCAGCTTGTTTGAAATCTTGTTCCTGATTGATAAAAAAGAAGAAAATTGCAAATATTTTGTCATCACATATAACCAGGGTAAGATATTAATATTTAATTAACATGTGAAATATAAAAACGATTATATTCGATCTTAAACAGAACTATTTCTCGAGAGACTTATTTTATTCACTTTCTATATTTTGATGAAAAGACGTTCAGTAAGAAGAAGGTTAGAAAAAAGTAAAGTCTACAAAGCATCTCACACGCCCCCCGATATTGGTGGTGAGAAAGTATATACCAAAACATCTTGTATTTAAAAGTGCTAACCATAATCATAACTTACAAAACTGCGAAAAGAAGGCCAGAAGAACGTACAATTAAAGTCCATTCGTTAGTAGTTCTCAATCTAAATCAAAGTATACCGAACTTCTATTTGAACTAGTAAAAATAATTAGCGCTAAATACAACGCTAATACAAATCTCGAATACATAGCTGATCTTACCTTTTGTTCTTTTTGTAACCTTAGTTGAGTAGCAAGATTCTTAAATTCCGTTTGTTTTGCATATGTTCCCGTGTTTTCCTTATCAAAATTTGCTAATAGCTTTGCAGCCAATTGACAATCTTTAGTACATTCTGCAAGATTTGCAGACAACTCATAACCTTTTTAATATTGCAAGCAATTAGTTTGTCTTCAGTTTCTTGACGAACATTAAACCGATTTAATTCGCCCTTTAGCCTGAAAATGAGTATTTTTATAATTATATACACATAACATGGCGGTTCTGTAATAATTATTCTTACTCGTTAATTTGATTTTTACTTTCCGCAAGTTTTTGTACTAATTTCTGATGAGTGCTTTGGTTATTTTCCTGATTGTTTTGCAATTCCTTTAATTTCTCAAAGTTTTCCAATATTTCAACATTACAAACCGAGCTGATTGTATTCGAAAGAATTTCCTGAGGATTCATTTTAGCGAAATCCTGCCGATATATACAATTTTTCATTAAATAATAAAAAAAATGCAGAAACATTTATATTATAGGTGTTTCTATTACCTGAACACGATCCTGTGGTAAAAATTGGCATAGATTGTTTACTTGGATGTTAAATTTTGATATCGCCTCTAGATAGTTGCGACGTGAATAGGAACGACCGTTAATAAAATACTCTGATTTATCGCTTTTGTCAAAAGTGCGTGTGAAGTCCACCGATTTTTCATCACAAAGGCTTCCCCTATTCTTTCGTTCGGCACAAACTTCTACAGATATTTTAGCCGATGAACAACCGTTTTTAACATAATCCCTGATCAAATTTGAACGCGCCAGCAATTTGGGCTCACCACCCAAACACAACACTATCGCTGATACAAGTGTGGATTTACCTGAGCCATTGGGGCCAATGATAACGTTTAAATATTCTGATGGTGTGA